TATAGAAAGCTATTAAACTAACCCAAGTCAACTCCTCATTCATCTAATAACTGCTATAAATTCATAACTAATTACCAAAATCTCATAATTAAAAACCAACCAACCCATCACCAAGATCAAATTTTGACACCAAATTCAGACACCCAAATCGCCAAAACCCAATGAAAAAAACAACATTTAATCAGTCTTAGCTTACCTCCTCGATCAAGTAACAGAACCACAGGCCCCCCAGACTTGGACCTGAAAGGGAGCCCACTAAAGGGGTTTCGGGCTGGAGGAAGTGGCGGCCTTATTGTGCTTCGCGACGGCGGGGAAGGGGAATGAGTAGTAGGTGGCGGCTGCGGAGGCGGCGACGAGGGCGGCGTAGCCCTGGTTTGGAAGGGGAAGGGGTTGGAGGTGGAGGCTTGTTTGGTGAACCCGAGGGATCGGGAGGTGAGGGTGAGGGTGGTGATGACGGTGGCGGCCGGAGGGTTGGAGGGGATTAGGGTTTGAGAGAAAGATATGAAGGATTTGAGAGAGATGGGGTCTTAGATATGGATTTGAGCGGAACTGGGAATAAACTGAGGGAATGGAAAAAATTTGGGGGGAATTTTAAATTTTTTGTTAAAAGGGGTTAAAACATCCTGGACGGAAATTTCCGTCTAGGATGAGTATCCTAGACGGAAATTTCCGTCTAGAATAACGGGTTATTTTTAAAAAAAAATAAAAAAATAAAAAAACCGTCTAGAATACTATTCTAGACGGAAACTTCCGTCTAGAATATTTTATTCTAGACGGAATATTCTAGACGGAATATTTCCGTCTAGTTTAATACATTCTAGACGGAAAAAAATCCGTCTAGAATATTCCGTCTAGAATACGTGGTTTTCTACTAGTGAGAATGCCTAAAATCTTGCAAGTAAAAAACAAGGGAAGAATACTGAATGGCTAAAAGAATTTTCTATGCTCCCAAAACAAAAGCCTCTCCATCCGGAGCCTTCCCTCTGCTTAGCTATAACACCAGGGAAGAGTGGAACAAAAGTAACACCGAACTGCCTCCTAACTCTCCTTAAGCTTCCGCTTGATCCCACAACAATACCGACGTCAGCTTTTAATAAACAGAGCAAGTCGCCAACTAAGTCCCCGATGTAAACAGATAAATGTTTGTCCCCGCTGTTCTGATTCAGGGCGTTAGTAAAAACTTCTACCTTGTCGAGCGGTGACTGCATCTTTATGTCGATCTCTCCTGTCAGTGGAACACTCAATTTGTCTAGCAATTCCTCTATTTGGACAGCTTCTGCCTCAAAACTTTTGGATGAATAATACTCGATACGTTTCTTGTAGGAATTATCACTTCCATCATGAGAAAGAAACATGTGAAGCTCTTTTCCCAAGTGAGCATAGAGCCTCATGCAAGGGGTCATAGCGAAATAGGAATCTGAAGCGGATATCTCAACAAAGTGAGATATCGGCTCTTCCTCTCATCAGTTTTAGGACTGACCTGTCGAGGGATCCTACAAGCTATTACAAATCACAGCAAGAACACAACTTTTACGTGGTTCGGCAAATAGCCTACGTCCACGGGGCAAGGAGAGGGGAGATCTACTATTAGAGGGAGAGATACAATTGGGGTTTACAATCTCACAAATAAAACCCTCTCACAAACTCTCAGATCCCTCACACAAATACTCTCTCAAAGGGGGTGCTAAAAATAAAGAACATCTACAAAAGACTTGCTTTTCCTCCTTGAATAGCCATCAAAATCACTGCTCCTTTTTGTTCTCTGTGTTTGCTGCAGCCGCCAAAAGAAAAAACCCCTGACTTGCTCTCACACGCCTCGAACTGCACAGCCCTAAAGAAAAAATCAAGTTGATATAAATATGATGTTGAAAACGGTTCATGGGCCTTTCGTGGGCTTCTCGTGTTCGTGTCTCTTCACGCGGAGATGAAACCGCGTCTTGCAGCGGAAGTCACGTGGAGGAGCCCCCCCCCACGTTCACAATTCTCCACCTCGGTGAAGTTTTCTCAAAACTGAGCTGACACCAAAGCAATCAAATGTCCCACTTGTTGTGTCCAGTACGAACTCAATCCACAACAAGTCGAGAACCCGAACGAGAATCCATACAATCACCCCCCCATCAAAATCAACTAATCCAAACCTGCTGCATCTGAAAGACTGCCTACGTATCCTCTTGCCCAAGGAATCAAGCCGAACGTAGTTCACCCAAATGACCTCCAAAGGCCTCAACATTGAAGAATGTTCAAAAGCTCCAAACAATGACCAAACTTGACACCTGAAACAACTTTGGTCAACATATCTGCAGGGTTGTCCTTCGTGTGGATCTTCTCCAATATAACATCTCCTTCATCCAAAACGTCACGAACAAAATGGAATCTGACATCGATGTGCTTCGTATGCGTATGATAAACCTGGTTTTTTGCCAAATAGATAGCTGACATGCTATCACAATATACCCGAAGGGTCTCCTGTGCGATCCCCAAGTTCTCTAATAATCCCTGCAACCACAAAGCCTCCTTCACAGCTTCAGTCAACGCCATATACTCTGCCTCCGTAGTGGAGAGAGCCACTGTAGACTGAAGTGTGCATCTCCAACACACTGGTGCTCCTGCTAGTGTAAACACATATCCGCTAGTAGACCGGTGCTTGTCCAGATCCCCCGCATAATCAGAATCCACGTAACCAATACAATCCTGCCCGTTCTTCCCATTCTTCTCGAACACCAAACCAACATCCACGGTACCTTTAATATACCGTAGAATCCACTTCACGGCCTTCCAATGACCCTTCCCAGGGTCGTGCATATATCTGGATACCATGCTCACGGCCTGTGATAAATCTGGCCTTGTACACACCATCGCATATATCAAGCTACCCACAGTATTGGCATATGGAACTTTGGACATGTATTCCCGGTCCTCAACTGAAACAGGTGACATCTTAGCTGATAGCTTAAAATGGGGGGCCAATGGAGTACTTACCGCCTTGGCATTGCCATCATAACTGAATTTCTTCAGCATCTTCTGCAAGTAACTCCTCTGTGTCAACTTCAACCTCCCCTTCACCCTGTCTCTCTCAATCTCCATACCCAATATCTTCTTTGCTTCTCCAAGATCATTCATCTCAAATTCGGATGACAGCTCTTTTTTCAACTTTCTAATAGCTAAAGTATTCCTGGAAGCTATGAGCATATCGTCAACATATAATAGCAAATAGATATACTCACCATTCTGTAGCTTGTGCATGTAAACACACGGGTCATATGGGCTTCTTGTGTACCCTCGGCCAATCATAAAGCCGTCGAATCTCTTGTACCATTGTCACGGCGATTGCTTCAATCCGTAAAGAGACTTCTTCAGCTGCATACTAATTCTTCTTTTCCTGCAGCTTTAAACCCCATAGGTTGTGTCATGTAGATCTCCACTTCTAAATCTCCATGTAGAAAGGCTGTTTTCACATCCATCTGGACCAAATCCAAATCCAGCTGTGCCACCAATGCCAATAAAATACGAATCGATGAATGCTTTACAACAGGTAAAAATACCTCGTTGTAATCAACGCCCTCTAGCTGTGCATATCCATTGGCAACCAATCTGACTTTGAATCTAATTTCCCCAATAGAAGATCCCTCTTTCTTTGCATATACCCACTTGCATTCAATAGCCTTCTTACCTTTCGGTAGCTTTGCAAGTTCCCAAGTGTCGTTCTTATGAAGAGACTACATCTCTTCCTCCATGGCTTCCCTCCACCTATTCGAATCAGAGCTTGACTCTGCTTCCTTGAATGTAAAAGGAACCAAATCATCAACGACTTCTGCTGATAAAGCATATGCAACCATGACATCGTTATATCTAGCTGGCCGACGAATGTTTTTTCTTGGTCTATTAGCTGCAATGGACTCCTAGACATGACCCTGTTCCTGAGTCCCAACATCCACTGTATCCTCTAAATGCCCGACTGTCATCCCATCTCCTTCCAGTGTCACCTCTGTAGGAGCCTCAATGCATACAATGTTATCTGGAGTGGGTGGAGTCACATCATCCTCCACCTGCTGTGATATCCCAACTGTCTGGTCTTCCTCCACCTGTTGAGAAACTTGAGGCTTCATCATGTACGCCTCGTCAAATGTGACATCCCTGCTAATAACTATCTTTTTGTCATGTGGATCCCATAACTTGAAGCTTTTAACTCCATCTCTAAATCCCACAAAGACTGCTTTCCTCGCCCTCGGATTCAATTTACCATCACTGACATGGTAATAAGCTGGACACCCAAATATCCGAAGCGACTCATAGTCACTAGCTACCGAACCAGACCAACACTCCAACGGAGTCTTTCCCTGTATCGCAGTGCACGGTAACCTATTCACAAGG